AAAAAAAGGTCCTCCAAGGTCGAGAAGGGAGAGTGTTGACATGTCATGGGGTTGTTGTCATAAAACAAATGTGTACTGACTGTTTAATGAGAACTATTTGTTATGTAAACCTTCATCTAAAGTACAATAAAATAAAATAAAACTTACTATAAAGCATAAGCATAAGAAACTTATTTGACTATATTAACATCAGCCAAAGTAGCTTTAAAACAAGGAGCATTACCTTACTTTCAGTCTAACAACTTAACCTACCACAACTTCATGTATATCATGGTAGGCTAAAAGAAAGCATAAGACCCTCAGTCAGAGACAAATTGAGATGTATTTTAAGTGTAAAATACACTTAGTACAAAAAAAAGAAGAATATAAAATATATAAATAAGTTTTATACTGATGTTGAAATGATAATATTTTTGATATATCAAGTTAAGTAAAATGTATTGTTAAAATTAGTTTCGCCTTTTAATATGGCTACTAGAAAATTTAAAATTACATACACAGCTTATGTTTTATTTCTAATGGACTGTGCAGCTGCAATGTCTCTGTAAGGAGGGGCTTAGAGGAAGAAATCAAGTTGAAAGAAGGAAATTAAAGTTGCATTTGCATTGTATATTACTTAATATTGAGGACACATGCTTGGTATCAAAGACCTTGAGGGATTCTTAAAGAAGATTACTTTGGGAAGTAAAAAATTTCTTCCCCATCTGTGGCACCACCACAACCTCCTGTGTCTTAGTTATCTAGTGCTGCTATAACATTGTAGTCCATCTGAGTAGCAAGTCCACCCTTTGGGACTCCAGAGGTCGTGGCCTTACGCTTTGAGAGTGAGGTAGCTCTGCTTCCTGTGTTCCTTGTCTCTTCAGTTTCTGCTTCCTGGTTCCTTGGCCTCTCAGCCCTCGGGCCTCTCAGCCTGTGTCTGCCCTGCTGGGGCAAGTGTTCCAAAGCTCTTTATCTCCACAGGTAAGTGCCTGAAGGCACCCCACTCCTCCAGTAAACTTCAGCTCAAAGGCAGTCAACTCTCTTGCTCCATGGGTCAGCTCCAGTGCTGTCTCATGCTGGTCTCCTGGTTCTCCTGCTGCTAGTTCTCTGCTGCTGCTTCTTACTGTCTGCACTGTCTCCAGTGTAGCAGCTCTCCTCGTTTCCTTCTGAGTCCTCACCAGAGTTGTCTTTGATGTCCATAATTCCACCAACAGTCTCTTCAAGACAGTCTAGACTTTTACTACTAGGCACTTAAAAACTCTTCCAGCCTCTATCCATTCAGTTTCAAAACCACTTCCACATTTTAGGTATCTGTTAGAGCAGCACCCCACTTTTCTCGTACCAAATTCTGTCTTAGTTATCTAGTGCTGCTGTAACAGAAATACCACAAGTAGATGGCTTTAACAAACAGAAGTTTATTCTCTCACAGTCTAGTAGGCCAGAAGTCTGAATTCAGGGAGCCAGCTCCAGGGGAAGCCTTTCTCTGTCTGTTGGCTCTAGAGGAATGTCCTCGTCATCAATCTTCCCTTGGTCTAGGAGCTTCTCTGTGTAGGGACCCTGGGTCCAAAGGGCACGCTCTGCTCCTGGCACTACTTTCTTGGTGATATGAGGTCCCTATGTCTCTCTGCTCGCTTCTTTATTTTATATCTCGAGAGATTGACTTAGGACACAGCCTAATCTTGTAGATTGAGTCCTGCCTCATTAATATAGCTGCAGCTAATCCCACCTCAGTAACATCATAGAGGTAGGATTTACAACACATAGGAAAATCACGTCATATCACAAAATGGTGGACAATAAAACAATACTGGGAATCATGGCCTAGCCAAGTTGACATACATTTTTGGGGGACACAGTTCCATCCATAACACTCCCATATCCTTCAAGTTGGACCATTAGATCTACAGCCCTATACCCCAGAAGTATAGTTTCCTAAATCTGAGTTATTTAGATTTAAATAATGCTCTAGGAAGTGGAGATCTTCAGAAGTATGGTGTGGCAGTCCAAATCTCAAAGAGTTGTTGTCACCTGCCCCCAATGTTATCTATTAGGCAGGTTCCCTTGGAGGTTTTCTCCACCAGATATGCCTTTTCACTTTTCTCATGTGCAGTAATTTATTTAATCACAGGCACACAGGCACACATTTTCCATGGACAAATTAATTTTTGAGACAGTACAATTTAAAGTACAGAATATAAACCCAAGTGCTTAGGGATAATCAGAAATAAATGAAATAAACAGGTATAGGAAAAATAGAGAGTTGTAGGGACTATTTCCAGTATTTGTAGCCAAGTGTGAATAAGAGTCTGGCGTTGCTAAATCTCCAAATTTTCAAGAGAATTTGAAAATCAAGATTTTTATGAAAACTGTCCAAGTTTTTAACATAGTTCAAATCTGACAACCAGTGTTAAACTTCTGATCGAAAAGAAAAACCAAGGGCCTTTTTTTTCATCTAAATTTTTTTGTTTCTAAGTAAATAAAATTCTGAAATAATGAAAATACCATTATATAAGTACGTTGTTTTGAAATAACTTCCTGTGTTTAAGTTTTTAAAACTTATTGCCTAATTCTGTTATGTACTTTACATTTTAAATATAGAGCCTTTGAAGAAAAACGAAAAGAGCAAGAAGAAAGAGAACACCAACTCAGAGAACAAGTACTTCAACAAAGAAAACAGAAGTTTGAGGAAGTTACTGAAAGATTCCAACGTGCCCATATTCCTCTTTCACAGCGCAGGAGATCAGGTGCCTTAATTTCTAAAACAATATGAGAACAAAAATGAAAGTTACCACATTTGATTTGAGTAGATAATAAAATGATAAGTTAAGAAACAAAGTAGAAGCTCAAACTACATAGGCATTTATGCCTTTTGAGTAATAGGAATTTAACCAAATGAAAAAAGTAATTTGATTTAGGTTTAATTTGAATAATATTTTGTTGCCTCTTCTAGTAAATTTTCAAACTGGCTTACATTTTGTCTTTTTAAAATCAATTTAGTAAGTAGTTTAATAAAAAGAAAATTTAACGTTTGGGTTCAGTAACAGCATCACATTCATTCTGACATTTTATTTACAATTTAGTTTAAATTAAAATTTGAGATACTGACAAAACAAAAAGAAAGCCTACAAAGTGATACAATCTAGCAATCTAGGACCTGGAACTAATTGAGAATTTAACTATGACGATGGTTGATTCATTGGCTCCAAATCTACTTTTTTAAATACCTTAAATAGTAAGACAATTAACAAAAAGATATCAAAGCTTCATACAGAAAAATGGTAGGCACCCTTAGAGTTGTTAAGGTTCTGAATTAAAGTAGTGTTTTTGGATATGGAGATAAGAGGTAGTTGATTTAGGAGATATAATCAACAGGATTCAGTTACTAATTGAGAGTGGTGAAAGAAAGGCTAGGAAGAGAACAGTGCCCATAGGACTTAGCAGTGAGCTTCACACATTGTAAGCACTCATTTTTAAATAAATTATTTTGGTGGATGATGGTAATATTAATCAAGGCTACAAATAGGAGAAACAGGATAGAGATACGAAAGATCATTCATCAAGGTTTTTTTTTTTTTCATTAAGTTTTTAAATGCGTTGATGTTGAGCTCCCCACGGCCCATCCAAAATGAGAAATCCAATCAACAATTGGAAATATTGGTCTGAAACTCAAGAGAAAGATATGGAATAGAAATGTAGATTTATGTATATGAAATGTAGATGAATAACAAGCTTAAGAGATAAAACCTCCTGGAGGCCCAGCCTCGGGAGGGACTCCCACACTTTCATGAGTTTCACCTCCAGGAGCCCCGCTAGGTTTTCACTGCAACTCTCAGAGAAAAAATCCCTTTGTGCTTCTGGCAAGGGGAGGGAAAAAGTACCATATTTTTATGCAAATAACACAATGTATTTTTTTTTTTACAGCAGCATATAAAAAAAAAATTAGCGTAGCACACTTAAACAAAAATATCTCACTGAGAGAGGGTGCGGTTGGCAAACAAACATATAAAGCACATTATTTGCATAAAAATATGGTAACCATCTTGATATAGTGCCCTGTTCTTGACAATAGCCTGTCCTCAAGGGAAACTACCAGAGCCTAGCTAATGTGGGCTTTATCAGAGCCTAATCAACTTCAAGGAGAGAAAATACCCAGCTCCAGCCCCATCTAACCTTCTGCATGGGAGAATTGCCAAACTCCAGCCCTCAGTGTGAGAAGAGAGTTGGATGTGGGGAAAGGAAATGCCCAGCTCCAGGCCCCTCCAGCCTTCCTGTTTCACCTATAGAGCGAGGGGTCAGGGAGCTTAAAAGCATTTGTGAAGGTCACCAGGGTCACAGGCTCACTACAAAACTGAGACCTAATCATAGAACTATAGAATGCTTCCCCGGCACACATACCTTACCATCATATCAGTATCAACAGAACTTTACGACCAAAAGAACCTCAGTTACTCTTATCCAATACATCATGTTTGGCTTTCAACAAAAAATTACAAGGCATACTCTAAGGCCAAAAAAAAAAAAAAAATACAGTCTAAAGAGACAGAGACAGGACAAACATCAGAGCCAGACTTAGATATGGCCGAGATGTTGGAATTATCAGACCAGGAATTTAAAATGACTATGATTAGTTCGAATCCACCAGCTGCTCCTTGGAAACCCTGTGGGGCAGTTCTGCTCTGTCTCATAGGGTCACTACAAGTCGGAATTGACTCTGACGGCAAAGGGTTTTTTTTGGTTTTGCAATTAGTATGCTAAGAAGGCTAATGGAAAAAGTTATCAACATGCAGGAACAGATGGGATCTATTTAAGGAGAGATTGAAACTCTAAGAAACATTCAAAGGGAAATGAAAGAGGGGAAAAGGAGGACTCAATGCTTAGGGGACACCGAGTTTCTGTTAAGAGTAATGGTATAATTTGGGAAAGGATAAAAGTGATGGTTGAACAACATGATGAGCATAATTAATGTTACTGAACTGTACACGTGAATGTTGTTGAAATGTCAAATGTTTTGTTACATATATATTTACCTCAGTAAAAAATCTAAAAAAAAGAAAATGAAAGAAGTCAAAAACACTAACATAAATGGCGCATTTAGTAGACTGGAAACAGCCAAGAAAAGAATCAGCTATCTTGAAGATATGCCACCAAGGAACTTTAAACGTATACTGCTAAGTTTAAGAAACCAGTCCAAAAAACTAAATACTGTATAATTCCAACTGTAATGACATTCTGGAAAGGCAAAACTATAGAGAGTGAAAAGATCAGGGTCAGAGAGAGGGGGCGCACAGGACATTTTTAGGGCAGTGAAACTACTCTGTATCATACCAAAATGGTGGATACACATGTGACATTATACACTGTCAAAACCCATAGAACTGCACGACCAAAATTGTGATCCCTAATGTAAACTGTGGACTCCAGTTAATAAGAATATATAAATATTGGTTCAATTGTAACAAATGTACTAAGGAATGAAAGATGCTAATAATAGGAGAAACTGTGCAGGGGAGAGAGGAATATATATGGAAACTTCCTGTACTTCTGTACAATTTTTTTCTAAATCTAAAACTGCAATAAGAAAGTAAAGTCTATTTTAAAAAAAGTGAGTGAATAGACATATAGTTGATAAATGAAGCCTTGGGAAACAAGCTAAATAAACAACAAGGTATAGACCACAGATTAAGAATACAACCTAAGAAAGAACCTTAATACACACTAGCGTTTATTATAGGTAGAGCTAGAAGAACTAAAAATTATGTTTTGAGAAGTAGTTATCAAGAAGGCAGGAGAGGAGGGAGCAAACAAATTAAATAATGTATAAGAAGGCAAAAGATATGGTAGTTTTAAGAAAGAGAATATGGTCGGTTATGTTAAATGCCTCAGAAAGGTAGTTCCCACTCATGAGCACTGTTTGTCCCCAGAGTAGGACAAATGTCTAGATACAAAAAGTCAAGTGTTTTAGCAAAAACAAATGACATACATACCCATAAAATGGAATACTATGAAACTATTAAAAAAAAAAAAAGTAATGGGGAAACTCTACACGGACTGATACGGAAAGCTCTCAGCAGAAGTAGATTTACTGTGAAGCTAATAAGGGTTAAGTTTTTAGGACCCCTCACTCTCTTAGACCCTGTATCTAATTTTATATTTTTAATTTTGCATTTTTTTTTCTTAAAGATGCCCCCCCAATATATAAGCTTTATACTTCATAAAATCTGGATCTGCCCCTGATCTCCAGGATACATTGTTAAATATAAAAATAAGGTCCAGAACAGTATAAAAAATATTCTGCCTTCTGTATAAGAGGGAAAATTAGAATATATATATTCATATTTTCTCAATTTGCATAAAGTAACAGTGAAAGAATACAAAATGACCAGTAAAAGACTTCTAATTGTATATATTTTATATAGTTTTGATTTCCAAACCATATGAATATATATTACCTGTAAAAAATATTAATTAACATTTTAAGAAAATCCAATGCTATATAGAACTATGAAAGACAACTTTTTATTTAATTATCTGTTAGTTTGGTTTATTCCCGAATAAAGGGGGTTAAACCAAAGGATCACCAGGTATGCATAATAGCTGACTTTTCCCCTTGCTACAAAGAAGGGCAATGGATTGGGGTCTCAATGAGGTCAGAAAATTGTTGGAGTGAGAATACTAGAATAAAAGAACTGGAAGGATTGGAGCTAATGGACCAAATAAACCCATTAGTTTATCAAAAATTCCAGAGGGAAGGAAATAATAAACCCCTAGTACACAGTAACCAAACCAAAACCTAACTCATTGCCATCCATCCAATTCCAACTCATAGCAACCCTATAGGACAGACTAGAACTGCCCCTTAGGGTTTCTGAGGCTGTAGTCTTTATGGAAGCAGACTGCTACATCTTTGTCCCACGGAGCAGCTGGTGGGTTCAAACTGCCGACTTTTCAGTTAGCAGCCGGGCACTTTAACCATTGCTCCGCCCAGACTCCTTCTAGTACACAGTAAATGCTCAAAAAAAATGTAGGCTCAAATCGCATCTGCCTCATAGGCAAAATGAGGATTAAATTAATTAATACTTGTGAAGTGCTTAAAAATAGTGCCTATAACATAGTAGGTGCTCAGTAAATGTTAGTTGCTGTCTTTATATCTTCCCCTTTTCTTCATAGGAAACTTTTAAAATTTTGTCAGAAATGTATGGGATTATGAAATCAAATTATAGAATGGTTTGTATGCCAGAACAAAGAGCCTAAACATTTCTTCAAGTTTCTGTTTTCCAGATATATATTCTTAAAATTGGTGATGAGAATTTTGAGGTAAACAGTTTCTCTTTTGTGAATTGAATGTCTAAATTTAAAATAAGTACACTATTCTAAAAAAATTTTCTTTTTATAAAAATTTTATAGTAATATTTTATCATTGACCAATTAAATTGTAGGTTCAATATGAAGATACCATTGAGGATGAATACATTTTATAATATTTTATCTTTCCCTCTTTATTATCCCTTAGTGTTTAAAAAAACAGTTCCTCCATTAGAAGAGGCCCTAAAACAAATTCAGGGCTCCAACTTAAATTCAGAATTAAATCTTCCCACATCCCACAGACCAACAATTAACTGGAGGTAAGTAGTTTCTAATTACTATGTATAATTATTAACATGTAATAATTATATAGCTTTCTGTTTGCTGAGTGTGTAAGCGTTTTCATTAGTTGCTCCTCACCTCTGTTTTACAGTTTTCTATTTTATTTTCACTGTTTAAATTGAGATACAGTAGAATGTGAATTGCTCCAAGAGTAAGGCAAAATTCTAATGTATTGTCTTGAAGTCTTCTGGTATTACATATGCTGCCTATATTGAATAATTTTTCTATGGAAATTGTCATCAAAACTACTACTTGAAAGTATGAAACTAGTTATTACTTATCTTTTCTGAGAAGTTGAATTGTAGCAATAGATGTTTAGGTAAAAGGAAAAACTTTACAGCAGAATTGGGGTTTTCCTCACTGAAAGTCTTTCTTGGATGTCTTGAAAAGGCTTCAGTGTTTCCTAGTTCCTCTCCAGGGTGGCTTAAATGAATCTTCTAGATGCAATAGGATGGACCAGCTAATCACTGGACACCGTCTGAAGTTCTGTATTTATTTATTCTAAATGTATATTGAAGCTACTTCATGCATAGCACTAGATCTGATTCATGGTGATCAATCCCATGTGTGTCAGAGTAGAACTGTGTTCCATAGGGTTTTCAGTGGCCAATTTTTTTGGAAATAGATCACCAAACCTTTCTTCCTAGGCACCTCTGGGTTGACACAAACTGCCAACCTTCCAATTAGTAGCCAAGCGCATTAACTGTTTGCACCACTCAGAAGAATATAGCCACTGCCAAACCAAGCCCAGTGGGAAGAGAGCTGGAGGAATAATTATCCAAAACCTTGTTCTCCTGCCACCCTCCCATCCCCGGCTAGTTAGGGGCTTCCATTGTCTGAACTCAGCCAGAAATCAGAGGACAAGGGATCGTTCAGTCCCTGTGGAGCACAGAACCAATTAGAGAAGTGTGGAAAGTGAATATGGAAGGACAAGGAGAGAACACCCAGCAATATGTCTACTATATTTCACAACAAAGAGGTCACTGGCAACTTTTGTCAGAGCAATATTAGTGGAGTGGTGGAGGCAGAAAAGATTGCAGTGAGTCGAAGAGAAATGGCCAGGGAGATAACAAGGATACGTGTAGTGGTTGGCTGTGAAAGGAAAAGAGTAGTTTCTCCTGTTCCTGATGGGAGGAATCCTCGGGGCAAGCTACAGAGTAGGTGTAGGTGCTTGTCTTCTTTGCAATCCCTCTTCATTTTTCAAGTGACAGCTAAGGTGTAAGGAAATGGGATTATAATGGGTGAGTGTATAGGACAGTAGCCAGAGGGCCAACATAATGTTTTTCCAGATCTGATCATGTTTTAAATGTGAATGTCAAACTGATGAGTAATACAACTGCAGTCTAGAAAGATACCAGTATCAGTTGTCATCCAGTTGGTTCCAACTCATGGCGACCCCATGTGTGTCAGAATAGAACTTTACTCCATGGGGTTTTCATAGCTGTGACCTTTAGAAGCAGATCACCAGGGCTTTCTTCTAACATACTTCTGAGTGGGTTCAAACTGCAAACCTTTGGGTTATTAGCCCATCACTTAACCATTTGTACCACCAAGGGACTCTATCTAGAGAAGAGTATGGTAAAAACGTGAAGTGCCTTAAGTCCCTATTCTGTCCTAGACGTTGATTAGCTGGGTTATACATATGAATGAAATATGATTTTCTGCCCAAGAAGTGTTTGCCAATTACATTATAATAACATGTAATGGGAGCTATTACAAAATATTAGCGAAGTGATAAAGAAGTACAAAATTTGGAGATAAAAGTTCTTGGGGAATTTTTGGAAAAGTTTCACAAAACGAAGGAAGATAGGAGAAAGTCTTAAAGAACTGCCTAATAAAGAAGCATGGTTGGGTTTCAGGCATGCATAGGGTTATAGAGTTGTGAAAGGTGCAGGCCTGTAAGGAGAAAGAACTTGCTATTTAGAGTGATAGGACTATAAGATGTGTTGCTGGAAGGACAGAAGATGATCTAAACATGTAGATAAAGATCTGATGTGATAGACTTGTATGAGTAGCTAGAGAGTTTAAACTTTGTTATGTAATTAGTGAAGAGCTAATGGAGGTTTTTAAGCAGGGAGTGATATAATCCTCTTTATTATTTTAGAATGATAACTAGTACGAATGTTGGAGAATGGGATGGATGAAGAGAACTTGGAGGCGAGGAGACCAAAGAGGAAATTTGGGGGATAATCCAAGCGATAGATTACTACTGCATAAACTAGAACAGTAGTACTTTGTATAGTGAGGCATGGATGGACCTAACAAAGAAAAGACAAGATTTTTGAGTAACTAGATTAGGAGGATGAGCAAGAATTAAAAATAAAATATAATGTCTTTTCACAATGCAGAGAAGTGGCATGAAGAAATAAGGTGTAATAATGTTGATCAAATAGAAGTACAAGAAATGAAATGTGGAGAGAACAATAGCAGGAAAATGAGACAGTGTCCTGCCATGAGTTAAAAAGGACTTATGTTAGGCAGGTGGTAGTGAAGTAGAAAATAAAGATAGAAAGAAAAGATATTTCATGGAAAGAATAGATGAAGAAAATTAAAAAAGCAAAAAATCAAAAGGTGACAATTGAGTCTTGATGATTAAGGGAACTGTGATGACTTAAAAAAAATAAAAAGGAGCATAATGAAAGGGTACAGGTTTGGCTAGATATTGCTAACTTTTATTTGAGCATTCCAAGTTGAAGTGATAAACATCCAAGGAGAAGTGTATAAAAACAATTTCACCAAAGATGAGGCAAAAGGTCAAGGTTATAGAAATAGATTTGAAAGTGATGATTATGTATATTGTTGCTTAATTTTTATGTGTACTTATGTCTCTCCAGCTAGATTATAGTATTCAACGGAACAATCTTATGTATACAGATATAGATAAGATAGATACATAGAGATAGGTAGATCTTCTATATACAGGGATTCCTTATAGTGCTTAGCTCAGTGCTATGCATGTTGGAGGTACTCAGTAAATATGTTGAGTGGAGAAATGCCACTGACATAAGTGAATGCTTCTCAGAGGGTATAAACTTGACCTGAAGCTTAACAGATGAGGGAGATATTCATTAGAGACAAACATTAAGAAGGAATTCCAGATGGAAGGAATAAGTAATGTGTAGAAAGCCATGAGGGCATGGTATGTTAAGGGAGCTGCAAGTAGTTCAGTTTGGCTTGAATGTACAGTGAAGACAACAAAGTTGTGGGCAGATAGGTTGGAAAGGAAACTGGGGGTTAAATTATGAAGACCACTGTTAAGTAGTTTATCTTGAAAACAATTACTGAAAGATTTGAATATTTTAGAAATATCATTGCCGTAATATGGTGGAAATTTTGGCAACAAATATTGGTGATGGTTATACAGTGTGTTTGATGTAATTGGTGTCACTGACTGTATACAAGGAAAATGTTGAATTGGCACATGTTGTGTTATATAACCAAAACCAAACCAAACCCATTGCTGTCAAGTTGATTCCGGCACAGTGACCCTATAGGACAGAGTAGAACTGCACCATAGGGTTTCCAAGGAACGGCTGGTGGATTCAGACAGCTGACCTTTTGGTTAGCAGCCAAGCTCCTCACCACTGTGCCACCAGGGCTCCTTGTGTTATATATACAGCAATTAAAAAAAAAAAAAAAAAAACCTCTGGCACAAATGATTAAACCCTCAACTACTAGCAGAATGGTTGATAGTTCAAACCCACTCAAAGGTCCCTCGAAAGACAGGCCTGGCGATCTGCTTCTAAAAGGTCACAGTCTTGAAAACCCCGATGGAGGACAGTTCTACTCTGATCCACATGGGATTGCTATGAGTCAAAGTCAACTCAACAACAACAAACAGCAACAAAAAGAAAGAAAGAAATGTTACCAGAATTAGAAAGAGCAGGGTAAGACTGAAGGTGGGAAAACCAGGTAAGGTGGTACCATAGTACTTAAAGAAAATGATGAGTTCTTGAGATCTGCTAAGGAAGTAGAATCAACATGATTTGGTAACTGAAGTTGATTAGGAGGAGGAGTCAAGGATGACTTCAAAGACTGGGTTTGACCAATGAATGAATGGTTGAAACCATTATGTCAAAATGGGGCTGGGGTAGGTTAGTGGAGTAAGTAGTTGAAGTGAGATGAGAAGTTGTGAGTTTGAGACACGTGGGATATTCGGAGGCAAATTTCTTGTGGTGAGAATTCTGGGTCATAAATATAGATATGACTGTCACAAGTAAATGGATGAGGTTAAAGCCATGGCACAGTGACCACCAGTGGTGGTCTTGGGTTCAACTCACCAGTCAAACTCCCATGACTACAATAGGCCATGTTTGGTTTCATTTAAAAGGATACAGGACAGAGAGAATTGATTTGTTGACAGAAAACTTCCCTGATATCGTGAAAGATAAGAAGGTATCTATCCAAGATGCTCATCGAACCCCACATAAGGTAGATCCCAAAAGAAAGTCACCAAGATGTAGCGTAATCAAATTTTCCAAAACCAAAGATAAAAAGAGAATTTTAAGAGCGGCTAGGGATAAACGAAAAGTCATCTACAAAGGAGAGTCAATAAGACTAAGCTCGTACTACACAGTAGAAGGATACAGAACAGAAAACACCACATGCCAGTAAGGCAACATTCTTCAATAGGAGAAATCCTCATGGCAGGCCACGGAACAGTTCAAGAGCTAGTCATCTTTGCCATCCCTCCCCTCCACCCAACAACCTGCAAGTGACAACTCAGGTGTAAGTAAACCAGATCACAGTGGGTGGGTGTATAGCCATCTTGGATTAGAAGCCTCATGTTTCAAACAGGAACAAATCTCTTGTAATGGTTTCATATGAATAGCTTCCAGGTCCATGCAAGAGACATGCCCAGTTACAAGAATCACACACTCAGAGAAGTCCAAAGCTAGGGCTTCCTGCCATCTATCTGTAGTTTATTCACAGTCCTCTCAGTACAGATGCAGTTTAACAATCAAGCATCATTTTCACC